GTTCTAGCTTTTTGTTAGAAGTTGTTTACATTTTAGAAACTGATGCTGCCTACTCAATTTCTGTAGGAAATGTAGTCCTCAGTGTCTGCATGTGCTCCTCCAGGAATCCTTATCTCCAGCCAGCATCAAGAGTATTTTCTCAAACCTTGCAAAAAAACCTTCAGATCCAGTTACCTAGCAGCGTTATACCTCCATCAGTGGGAAAGCATTTAGCTTATTCCTCTGCATTTGGAAGCCCCACAACAGAATCAGACCCTTTGCAGAAATATATGTGTGAAGACCAGTATTGGCATCCCCGAAAGCCAGCTACCTCCACCAGAATGCTTGAATGCTACAGGATTAGACTAAGTTTGTTCAGCAAAAATATCTTCACTACATCAATAATGCAGAGACATGGATGACTGACAATACTGATAGATGGTCTCCAAGCTCCATATAGCACTGACAGTCTTACAGAAACCAAGATACAGCTGAAAAACTGTGAATAGCAGTACATTTCCTATTTAGAAATGTCACGTATTAAATTATTTCAAAATCACTGCATCCAGTTACCCTGTAGATGTACCTCAATAAAAATAAAGACAGACAGAATCAGAATTCTGCATTCCCTTCAGAGGTAAGACAAACACATGTAATCTCAAGAGATTTTCCTTGGTTAGATTAATTCACAGCTGAAGGCTGTTACAGTAAGAGAACTGGGCTTCACATTGAAGCATTCTGATTTATTCTCTGCAAAGAAGCATCAGCTAGACACAGATTATTTCATGCTCAGGGATGGCAGTTGTGTATCGATTGCGATCAATTACAATTTAGATATCTGTAGTCCCAAAGTGGATGTTCAGAAAGTAGAATCTTGGCCTGATCACTGATTTGCCTTAACTAACTGATGCTTTAGTGACCAATCAAGCACCCATGACTACCTCTGAACCAGCAGAATTTGCAGCTAGTAGACTGGTGCATTTGAGAAGGGAATAGAGAGCCAGATCCCATCAGTGCTGCTTACATACATTCTGTTCAAGTACACTTTTGCTTCTTCACACAAGGTACATTACGACACACAGTTAGCAGGTTATGCAAAAACAGATCAGCGTGCTCTTTTCCTTATCTTCTCATATGTCCTCTGCAAATTAGAGATCAGTTGGCCTCAAGCAACAATGAAGATTTTAACGTTAAGGGAGCTTGTTCACTTTGCAAGCACTTTGACTACTTTGACTATCAGTATTTATAAACAGAGAATGGTGTAAGTAAAGATGTATCTTTTCCACCTGGGCCAGATCCTGAAAACATTACTGAAGGATTTCTTGCTTGGAAATTCCTATCTCCATCAAGATATACCATACTCTCCTCCAAAAAAAAAAAAAAGAAAAGAAAAACAAACAAACAGGATCTTGGAAAAATTCTTTAAATTTGTGTTATCAGAAAAGTATCATCTCTGATGGTCATTTTCTTTTCAAACATAGGGGAAAAAGGAGTGATTAGATTATCATTTTGCCTTTTACAAACACAAAATGACACAGCAATCAATTGTGACTACACTACACTTATGAATACTAATTTGAGCTATGGAGCTTTTGATGTTCATCTTTCATACTGAATTCCTTAAAAGTAAAGCTAAAACTTCTTGTGCACATTAAACTGTCTACTCTTAACAATCCCCTGTGTTAGTGGACAGAAGAAGTTATTTTGGATGACATTCATTTATTTCCCATAATAAAAGGGGCAAGATTAGGATGGAAATCAACTTCCAAGGGATTAAGTATTATACAAGGGAGGTATTTTTCACCTATATGATCAAACAGCAACTGTACACAGTTCCTGCATAAATAAGACTCTAGGATGTGCAGCTAATTTATTTTGTTGGATGCATTTTCTTTCACTGTTTGAAACCAATGGCAACGAGGGGCATACATGGGCTCCTAGGCTTTGTCCACAGACACAACACAATCTTCCTGCACAAAGTCTAAGGCAAGTCACTTTCTGTTGGATAGTACCATTTGCTACCTATTCTTTGCTGTTGCACCATTTACTCCATTCATATCCACCTAGACAGGAAGTTACAATAATTTCTGTGAAGTACTGATATGTGATTAACTTGTACATTTTTATTTTAATAGTTAAATCCTGTAAATTCGTATGAAAGCACGATTTCTTAATATTTTTTATTTTTTTTTTTTAACACCAAACTAAACTCAGTATCTGTGTCAGAAAAATCTCTTAAATCTCCATCTCCTGGTTAGAATTTTGGCAGTACTAAAGAAAATCATCAAAGCTCTCCTCAATTCGACTGATTTTATGGTACAGGTTTTGCCCATTTATGAAGTTATACTCCTTGAAGCTAACACTGTCATAAGTTGGGGGCATAATTCAGTTAAGAAAAACCTTTGAAAGCTCAAATGCTATTTCCAGCACAACCAAATCTTAACATTAAAACAGAAGAATGTTTTTGCAAAATATGCTCGAGTGGTCCACCACCAAAAACAGCATTCACTTTCTACCTTATCTATCTTATTCCTGAGTTAGCACAGGACAAGCTTATGAGTATAGTGCTTGCTGCTGCTGGAGAAGAAACTCTCTGCACCTCCCTTTCCACATGGTTTCTGATATCTGAAGGGAAGACTCCCTAATGACAGCAGAGTCAACTAAAGGCATGTGACAGAGAGAAAGATGCAGACACGGTTAAAGAATGCTGGATGTACATAGAAGAACACAATAGACAATTCAGTGCCAAATTCCTCCTGTGTAACAAAGCAGTAGTCAATCAGCAACTCCAAACCATCGTGCTTTTGAGACAGGAGAGAGAAAAACCAGAGAACATAAGATGCAGAGCCATTGCATATCTAGTTGAGAAGACTTGCCTGACCACTGTAAAGAACTCGTGGAAACAAATTATAAAAAGTACTGTCTTACATGGCTACTGAAAAATATCCTATCCATCGTATTTTAAGAAGTGAACAGATTATAACCCCCAAACATTTTTTGAGATTTTGCAATCTGCTACAAAACAGGAAATATATGGAGAAGCTTTAAACAGTTTTAAACTTCAATTTAAAACTTCAGGCTTAATTTAGAGACTTAATACTGAGAATCTTTGAGAGGTGAAGGGTTCTCTTTGTTTAGTTTTGTTTTAACTGCTGTTAGAATCAAGACTTCATACAGCATACTTGAACCTGCTAACTAAGCAGAACAAGTTTTGTTCCTTTCCGAGATGCAAACATAACTTGAGAAGAAATGAAAAGATCTGTCTACTAACAGTGGATCCTTACACCACCTACAGTGAGCGGTAAAGTTAGGAAGATAAAGGACCAAATTGTTATACACTTTAGCAGTGAATTAATTATAGGCCATTTTCCCCCATTTCCTTCCCCTTTTCCTTACTGAAGCCAGACAATCAGCACATAAAGGAACTCATTTACATGGAATATTATCACCCTTGCCTTTGTTGCATCATCACCTCATAAGCAACCCAGAATGTATGGCTGTTGAAGACTGGTGCATATACAGATTTTTACAAACAACAATTCTTATGGAGAGAACAGTCACAGAGTAAAATAGCTAATCAAAATACATTACAACATTAAATTTTCACCTTTCATAAATGGAGTAAAGATGCTTTTAAATATATTTACACTTAAAAAAAAAAATCTTAGGATTACTGCAAGTCAAAATTACTTAGAAATTATGAAAATGAAGTTCATTTAAATTAGAACATTATGAACAAATTGCCATATTCTACTTAGAATTTTGTCTACTGTGCTGTCAGTATTGTCACATCCCTTTAATCACAAACAGACAAAAATTATCTTAACTTTGTTTAATGCCAAAGCAGGTATCATTGCCAACGTAAACACTGGCTATACAGTATTTCAGTTAGAACCACCACAGCTCAAATTTTAGATCCTAGCTGTCCTGCCTTTCATCTGTTATATCTGTAGTCAGAAATTGCATTTCTGTTCTTATTCCATAAAGAACAGCAATTTCCATAAGACTTTTCTGCATTCTTTTTGACTATAACTATACTTGTACCACATTCATGAGATTATTCTCTAGAGACAGTTGAAACGTACTGAAGTCCCCTCCATCCTCCCTTACTTCCAAACCAAATGGCTACTTATTTCTGAAGATACAAAGAGACCCCTTGTTGGTAGTGCTGGGTGGTCTATTCACATAATGTTAAATGAAAATAAATATCCCACTTAGTGAACTACTGGTAATAGATTATTATTAGTTTGCAAGGAATACTGAAATGTGTTAGCATTCATTACAATTTAAACCAGAAACACATTTCATGACACATCTTGCTATGTGATTCTACCATTACACTGCTCAAACAGTTTCAGCTCTCTTGTAATCCATTACACCAGTATACTCCCACCTAAAAATAAAACATAAAAAAATAAATTTGAGAAGCATGTATTTTTTTTTCCTAAAAACTAGTATATGTTATTCAGAACAACAGCCCAGCCCCAAAAACATTTAAGAATCTTGAAATGCTTTTTTTTTTTTTCTTCATTTTTTCTTTTTTTTTTTTTTTTTTTTTTTTTTACAGATACTAAGATTTGGCCAAGTAACTGCAATGAACAGACATCCTATTTAGTAAGATAAAGCAGAATACATAATAAACAGGTCAGTAGTTATCTACCTGAAATAGCCTATAATTAACATTTGATGTCTAAAAAGTTTAAATAGCAACACCAAGGAATGAGGTATGTATGTTCTCAGATATCACATCAGACTTTCATTTTATGCAACTAACTGTATTTCACAACTAGCATCTTACAAAATAGAACAGTACTATTGTGCCTGTAGAAGTACTGCATTAAAAACAGAAAAATACATTACTACAAGAAACCACCAAACATCACAATTGTCAGGGGCTACAAAAATCCATTCTTTTAGCTGTTATGAAGATGTACCACATGTTGGGAATAATTTAGGATTCACTACCAGAAAGGTCCATTCAACTTTTACATTGGCTTAAACTTATGTATTTTGAATGCAAAAAAAAAAAAAAAAAAAAAAAAAAAAAAAAAGGAAAGAAAAGAAAAGAATCACAGGAGTGTAAGTGGACCATCTCACTGAAAGGAGCTAAATGGACTTTTGTACTCAACCAAATATATAATTTCAATCTATACATGGATTGGATGTGTGTGTATCAAAACACTTATTGGCTGTAAACAAAAATGCAAAAATCTGTATTCACAAAAATATTTTATTGGTAATTTTACATATTACCAGATGGGACTGTAAATAGTTCTGCTCTGTATCAGTATATTGCTAAGTGCATAAAATATTGACAGTTTATGCCATAAAGTAGGTTACTGTGGGGTTTTTACACATCATTTATGACATAATATTTTCTAATAGGCCAAATCAAAATAAAAAGAGGTTGATCCAAAATTAAAAAAAAAAAATAGTAATAGTATTGTTATTTCCTTATTCTTGTGCAACATCTGGTATTTCTGTAATGAAATGGTAACTGATTATATGACACTAGGTAAATCTGGGGCAAGGGAACAGCACTAAGCAGAAACAAAAACTGTACTTCAGTAATTTTTAAAGCTTTACCAAACTTTTGTGTTTCCCAATGTTAATTTTGCCAAATGCTGTCATGTGAGGTTAAACGTAGAATACCAGTGTATAGTGACAGTGAGTTTTCCTGAACTGTAGAGTTAACCAATTGATGTCTAGAATGGATTTACTTTTTTTTTTTTTTTGTATTTGCTTGTAAACATTTCAATAAGTGTTTTAAGTGTGAAAAAATATTGGTAAAACCATTAACATAATTCATTAACAGTAATCTAGTAAAATGTGTCAAACATTGGCAAAAATTCATACAAATGTTTTATTTAATAACATTTTCCTATTTAACCACACCAAGTACCAGCAGGTGTTTTTAAGATAATTATTACGAAAATTCTGTTGCAGCAATAGTTGATTAAGTTGATCTTTGACTTGCATACATATAACTATGTTTCACAATTTTCAGATAATACATATTTAGGCAGCTTGAACTATGTTATAAAAATTTAAATTCAGTACATGCCAATAGTAGAGACTCCAAGAGTTGTTAGAATTCACTAAACTAAAAGTGAAGATGGACTTACCAGTAACACTGTGTATGAACATTCAAACCACATTTTCATGGCACCTTTACACACAAAGATTAAACAGTTGGTCTGAAAATGCTTCGTAAGCATTTTTAGATTGCATTTAAATTATTTCTACCACTGCAATTTTTTTCTTCTTCCTAAACTGCATAAATTATGTTTCAGTAAACATACCAATTGTGCATGGATAATCTGTCATGAAAATGTGGCAACAGGTGGCAGAAGTTACATATTTGCATGTTGTAAAGAGAAGAGGCTAAAGAAACTGGAGGAAATAAACTTTAATGAGATTCCCCGTTCAGTGACGACGCTTCTCCTCTGGGTGAAGATGACCTGGACATTCCCCTCTCTGTGTTATCAGAGCTAGAGCCGCTCTGACTGTGTTGATCTGCAGACACAGCACTGGAAGCAGGTGGTGACTTAGTTTTCTCCTTAAAGTCTGTAATTATGACCGTCAGATCTCCAACGGTAACTTCCAAATGCTGAGCACTACTTCGATCCACATTTTTCAATCGTGGCCTAAAGAAAGCATAATGAATCACGTTAGAAACACACACACCATCTCATTCTCTTGTCTTTCTCCTTCTTACTAGGAGCTTTGGAGAACATACAGGTAACATCTGCATAATACTGCTTTGTGGAACATGTAGTACATAAGATGACAGTGTAGCACAAGTGTTTATGATAGAGTATTGCCCATAAGTTTAAAAATAGGTGACAGTAACACCTTTTCCACCTTCAACTAAGATTATATGAAAACTTATCGCGTGAATATTTTAACTGTGTGACAAAACAAACCTTCACACGTGCAACTTATTTTTATTTAAATTATTATTTAATTGTGATTTCCATTACTGTGGCTAGAAGTTATAAATCTGACCTAGGAAAGGATGCGTCCCTGCCGCAGCCTTAAGCAACAATTCTAGGTAGCAAATGGTGTTCACTAATGAGGATGTTGGTGTCCAAAAAGCTCACCTGTGCCTTCTGAATTTCAACAATGCAGTTTTAGCTACAAATTCCACACAGAAGTGCAGCAGTTGTAATTCATTTAAAAATCTCAATAAGACTGCTAGTGCAGTATTTATATTGCCCTTCACAGAATAATTCTGGCATCCCTAACACATGCTGTGATTTAAGATATGCAAAGAGCTCAGTAATCATATAGCACAGATAAATTAAGTCCCTTCATCTATTCTTTCATTTGTTTGATTTTCACAACATGAAGAATCATAAAAGAACACTGAATGATATTCTGCCATCACATTTTTGCTAGTGATGAGCATAAAGGACTTTAAATTCAGAATTTTCCTTTGACTACCATGGCAAACTGTCATGAGACAGGTGAATTTATACAAGCAATTTTGAATGGCATATCTTTGTGCACTTAACTGACTCCACAGCTTTCACCAGCTCAAGCTGCAATAAAATAAATTCATATGACATCATATGTTAGCAGGTGTGCTAACAGCAAAGTCCTAACCTTTACCCTATCATCTGACTTTGTTTGAAGTAGAATTGGTTCCCAGCCACTTCAGCTGAAACACCTCCTGCTTTTCCTCTGCTAGAATAGAACAAGGATTTGACATCTTGTTCCCTTGGGGCTGAAGTAGTGCGGCTGAAGAATCTAAAAGAACTGAAAAGCTGCTGCTGTATAGCATGGGCACAGAGAAAAGTTCAGCATTATCAACCTGCATAAGTGGTGTGCCTGAAGCTTGTTAATCATATTCAGTGTGCATTCAGATTTTATGATTGTTTCCAGCAATAATATACAAGTTTTCAGGCAATGAGAAAAGGATATCCTCGTTCCCAAGAGGATATTGAAGGAATCTGCTTAAACTAACTAAGCATTTGTATCCAGTGAATCAAATCTGTGAAAAATTGTTTGAAGTGCTTAAGTATTTTTTCCAATAGCCATCCCTAATGCAAATCTCAATACCAGTATTTCATCCGAGATTTTTTTTTGTTTTTTTTTTTTAAGTGTTTGCTCTTCTTCCCTGTCTCTCTTTTGCATTTTTAATGTACTACTGCAATCCAATAATGATTATTTCCATTTATAATATTTAATTAGCTTCATAAATATTTACTATTTTAACTTCAGGTACTTTTTAACTGAAGTGCTTCAACTGCATGTGGTAAGACAGACAGTACATCTGAGTATTAGAGAAAAATGTAAATGCATTCTTCCTGCTGGAACATCTCAGTCTCCTTAATCCTAACCGTAACTATTTTAAAGCCTGTACTCTCCTGACTCAAAATCTCTCCCAGCTTCTGATCCTGATGATCCTATTTCAGGCACAAGAGAAGCATCTGCTACTTCTCTGCATAACTAATCCCAAAGGATCTTCCTTGGCTGGACTATTCTGGAATGCTTCCAAAAGAAATCAATAGTTCCTCCCACTTTTGATTAGACTACATGTCTTGTATACTGCTGAGCTTTCTGGCACCACATCTCTGCTGCAATAATGTTATGCTTAGGCAGTGATGGTTTGGAGGCTGGATTTGCTGCCTTTGTTTCAGAGCTTTCTTCTGGTCAAGAATGAGGCTTTTACAATGGCTTGCTTGTACTGTAATGTGTCATGACTTCCATTCCAAGAGTCCAAAACTTTCATTCAGCATCCCAAATAGCACTGGGATTTTTATCACTAGGTAACATACATATCTTACCCTGTCACATTAATTTCTACCCTAGTTCAAAATCTCTTTTTAACTATGTCACCTTCCCACTCTCCTGTAATGAGATATGTTCTCTCCCTCCATCTCTCTTCCCTGTCTCTTTTTACCCCCATTTCTTCTCCACTCCTCCTGCCTCTCCCAGCAATATTCTGCATGATAATTAGTCCCTCCAGTTCCCTCTCTTCTCCTGAGCCTAGCAATCATGTTTTGCATAACTACCATTTTATGTGGTGTGAAAAAAAACAGTTGAATCCCTTAACAAAAATATCCAACTCTTTCTAAATTCAGCCGGTCTCCATCTTCTGGTTAAAACGACAAACTGCAACTTTTCATTGTGCATAACAGGCATCCTACAACAACAGAACTTCAAACATTTAGCATTACTGTTGAAAGAGTATGCCACAGGACTCACAAAGCAGTAAAATCACAGAACATTTTTTTTCGTATTTGCTTTTCTAATTATGTTTTACCAATACAGCAAGAGTTGCTAAAGTTTTTACCTGGTTTTCTTATGACTGTTCTTTTTGCTAGTTGTTTCCTTTTCACTTTTGTCCTTTTCTACTTTGTCTTTTTTCTCTTTCTTTGACTGTGTAGGGGGCACGAATTGCTGAGGAACCTGCTGTGCAACCAGCTGAGAGACGGGTCGAGGTTTCCTGTGTGCACATATATATAGAACATATGTATATACACATAAAGCTTAGGCTTTACAACAATAGGCTAAAACTTTCTATACAGCAGTTAGTAGCATTAACACGCAACACAAAAAATTAAACCACCACCACCACCACAATGATATATACATATACATATATATCTATATATCTTTCTCTGAGAGTATTTCATTAAAATAGTATATCAAAATTAAACCTGTTGTGGCCTTTTGATTCACTTGCATTATCAATAAATACAACAGTTGAGGTTTTTTTAAGCTTTTGGAGACAAGAATTTACAATGTGTTCTCCTAAGTGCTATATCCAGACTTGCATGGAATGAGCTCCAAACCATGAAGCCTTCTGGAAGAATACTTCATCACCTGCTGCCAGTCCCCTCAAATGGAGCACATTTTAAGTGTACTGCAGTACTGAAGCACACAATCCATGTCTCAAAAAGTAAAAAGATGACCTTTCAGGTATCACAGCTAAACTCACTGTTGGCCTTACAGTGTTTTAACTTCAACAAATTCCCTGAAGGTAATGACAAATCCTGTTGTGTATTCTTCACAGAAAAACAAACAAACAAACAAACAAAAAAAACCACAAAACAAGAAACATGTACAGCAGTACTAATAGAATACAGCTGTCAGAACACATATACTCTAAAAGCTGGCATCAGAAGCATCTGACCACATTCTATCAGGACACACAACACAGGTTTCTTGAACATGAAAATTCTAACCTGAAATGAAACCTTCTAGTTCTTAGAATTCAACTAAATACCTACTCATGAGCTAAGTCCACACTAACTCACAGAGAAAAAGATGAGCAATGGATTACTTAGTAACAAAAACCCATCTTATATCAGCTAGCAAACATAAGAGTGTATGCTTTTCAGGTGACTAAAGCTGAGTACTGCAAGTGGTACCTTGAAAAACACCCACTGTATTGAGACCAAAATCAGTGAAGTGACTCAACGGGCTGTAACAAGTGAGCACGTAGGATATTTTCATGAAAATCTGCCTCAGAACTGTTTTAACTTTGTCACAGCAATTCGTAAGAAAATAGGAAGAACAGAGGTGAAGTTGATGCACAAACTTATAATTTTAGGTGGAAAACACTTGTGAAATAGAAACAAAATTATCATCTCTCTTGATTGAAAGAATGCTCCAGGAGATGGATGAGTGAATCACTACTTCTCGTGATGGCCGGTTGACAATCACACCAATACTGTAGTTACCTGAAGGAATAATCTGACAAGTTACCAAAGTAAGACAGTAGTGAATTTCTTGATGCAGATTTGTTGCCCAGTGTTGTGCACAACACCACGACCAGAGAAACTTCATAAAGAGCAGGGATGAGAAAAAAAAAAAAAATCTATTCCACAAGTTCTCAATTTGGAATAATTTGAATTCCAGAGGGCAAATTACAAGGGCTGCTCTGAAAGTAATCCCTCCTTTTTATTATGTTGGCTTACAAAGTCACAGGCAGATGTTGGTGGTACGGCTGTAGAGGTACAATCTTCCTACCAGTATTTCATTCCATGTTGTTGCTGTGTGACAGATGGCAGCTGAGGGGCGGTCTGACAGAATGGAGTCTGACATGGAAGTGTGGATGAAGCAGAAGTATGTCACTGAATTCCTCGATGTGGAAAAAACAGCACAATGAAATTCACTGGCTTCCTGAATGTTTATGGAGACCAAGCAGTGGATGTGAGCACAGTGAGGTGGTAGGTGGTGCATTTCAGCAGGGGCAACAGTGATGTGAAAGACAGGCCATGTCCCAGATAGCCATGCAGATTTTTATGAGCGCAGTATGCAGACTCTTGTTCATTATGGCAAAAACACATAGCTAATGGTAACGACTATACTGAAAAACAGTTTTATCGCTGAGGATTTGCTCTACCAAGTAGTGTTACTGTGCACTTTGTATCCATTGCACTTTCCATGGAAATAAATAGAAGGCATTACTTTGAGAGCAACCCACATAAAATATTTCTGTTAGAGTACAGTTGGGAAATTCAGAATAGAAGTTTGTTTATTTAGTGCCTAGTACCATAAAACGATACGGGGAGAAAAAAGAATTAAAAGATCTTTGCCACAAGGAACAGAGGTCAACTAAGACAAAAAAAAAATCACAATTAAAAAAGAAAAAAACTAAGAAAAAGAACAAATTCACATCTCTCAACAGTGATTTAGTCTTTTAAGGCTCATTCCCTCCCCTCCCCTTCCCTAGGTACTCAAAGAGGGGCCACTGAACTGCAGCTGAGCACTGCAAGGCACTCAGGCTTCAGAAAGTAACCTCACCACTCAATGAATTTCAAACCACTAGAACTGTTTGTGATTGAGCTGCAGCTGAACCATGTCATTCAAACATGAAAGAACTTACACAGAGGAAAGGTTTCTTGCAGAGAAGTCAAATATATGAAAATCTATTCCTGTGAAAGGAAATTGATTTTGATGATTTGCCAAAATACAACAATTTCAATTACTGGATTTCAAAAACAGTTAAGACTCCTTGTAATAGGCTGCTACGGCTAAGTGCTAAGTCTGCCTTTTAAACTATCAATACATTTATGGTAATTTGCTTTTTGAGCATGTTCAAGAGCAACTGAGCTAACCAGCTTTCATAAAGAAGCTCTATAAACTTATATATTAAGATTATCACATTTTTGCCTCTCCCAATGGGACAACTTCACAAGTGAACAATCCAAAACCGCAGGCAAAGGCGCTTATAAATACATCTTGTTTGTTTAGATACACAGCCTCTCAAAATGGTGCATTTTTATTTAATAATTCACTTTGGTTGTTGTATGTGGAACACTCATCAACACAGGCATACACTGTTACAAAACGCTAAGAGCTAACAGTCCTTTCCAACCGAGGTGAACTTCATGGTGACTTCATTTCATTTTACAGGATTTGATTTTGCTGCTGTTTTAGGTGATGCATTCACAGAAACTGCAGAGAATTGCCTCTTTAGGATTTCTGCACAGAAATGCATTCAACACGAATTCTCCCAAAGGCAGGAAATATTTAACAATATGAAGGATGGGCTAATTTCTGCTGTTGGCATACTCAAAAGAAAAACAAAGGAGAAAAAAACCCACAGTGCTTTATACCATAGAGTTCACATGCCTAGAGATGAAAAGTGTTCATCCAAAAACACACACAGCACATCAGACCCACATCATATCTAAAACTCTTGCCCCATTTCCTTTCCCAGGGTGCAACACAATGCCTCACCGCTTGTAAATCCTTTGGGACATCTTCTTTAATCTCTCTCACCTGATAGCCATCAATAACCTGTGTAAAAAGAATGCTGACCCTCTGTAAATGGTGAGCAACTTGGTCCAAGTGCAGCAAAGCAGGCCAGCTTTGAAAACTAATTGAACAATAGCTCTATATAATATCATAACTTCTGCAGCAGAGTACAGTAAACTCTAAGTCATCTAGGTTGTACATCAAACATGCAACAGGACAATGCTGGTTTAATGCTGAAGTATCTCAGGGTCTGTGCAATCTCACCTCAAGCACTTTGTGCTGTCTGGGGTACCACGATATAAGAATAACATAAAACCATTAGCGAGCATCTAAAAGAGGGCTATAGAGATGGTGAAGGTTCCAAAGGGCAAGATGTATGTGGCTGAGGTCCCTGGCTTTGCTCAGCCCAGAGCAGAGGAGCTGAGGGGAGGCCTGATGGCGACTGCAGCTCCTCACAGGGAGCAGAGGGGCAGCGCTGAGCTCTGCTCTCTGTGACAGCGACAGGGCCAGATGGAACAGCATGGAGTTGTGCCAGGGGAGGGCAGCTGGGGGTTAGGGAAAGATTCTACACCAGAAGGTTGTCCGACCCTGGAGCAGGGTCCCCAGGGCAGTGGGGATGGAACTTAGCTGCTGGAATTTAAGGAACATTTGGGCAATGCTCTCAGACACAAGATTTGATTTTTGGGTGGTCCTGGGTGGAGACAGCTGTTGGACTTGATGATCCTTGTAGGTCCCTTCCAACTCAGGTTATTCTATGATTCTACAGATTTATTTCAGTCAGAGCACAAGCACACTTGCACAGCGCTGCTTCTATAGCCACCGTGAGTCCATAAAGCAGTCTCTGGCACTACTCACAGCACAACTCCAATTCTGACAGACCTGAGATGCTTCTCAAAGTAGCTCTAGAGTGGACAAATTGTGACAGTTTTTCCATTAACCAACCCCATATATACCTGGGTCTCCAGCAGCTCCCATGCAGCCCTGGCTGCAGGGCTAGGTGAAGATTCTTCCATGTGGTGCTGCACAACCTGAACAAACAGAGCTCACCAAATTAAACTGCCAAGCAGCACAGTGCAGACATCAAAAGTCCAACAGAGCAGCTTTGATTCAGTGTGAGTCATGACGGACTTGAACTAGTTCACATAGAACTATTCCAGTACCCACAGATTTCAGAACTTAGAAATTTTCATGTGGAAAGTTAGATGATGTAATCTCACTGTTGAACTCGTATACTTTGCCAACCCATTAGTGGAAGAAGTGCTCTAACATCTATAATATACCTTTAGAGAGTTCAGGTATTCTGAAGAATATATCATACAGAACACATTCAAATGCACACTCTTTCTCGAAGCTGTATCTCCTATGCTTTGCATATTTTACAACTACAAATCTATTAGAAGTTTTAATTCTCAATATTAACAGAGTGGAATTTTGGAAATGCTGCCAACCTCAGCTTTCAATCAAGCTGAAAGATGGCCTTCAACAGATGACCTGGATCCATACTAATATGGTCTTTTCATTCTCTCTCCTCTTCTCAGATCCATCCATCTCCTGGTTCCAAATTAGACAAAAAGCCCTTGCTGGAAGCTTTTTTGGTCCCAAGTTGCAAATTATCTATTTTGTAAAGCAAAAGTGCCATGTGCACAACATACCTATAGGTTTTTAGAATATCACACATTAAACCAGGCATTTGTCTGCTGCTGAGCCTTGGTCAGTTTACTCTCCACATTTTTCCTC